TTGAAATTAAAGTCTCAGTTGTTCACCTTGTTTCATAGCTAAGATACATTCCAACGAAGGATTTATTTAAACATTGCTTTTTTCTGCAATTTGTTTGTGGACGTTTATGGCCTCTTTCTGCTATGCCGTGATCGGCCCCCGTAGAATTTCTAGCCGGTTACGTAAAGGGTTGCTTGCAGCCGTAAAAATAGCGTCCAGCCGAAAATCCGGCCCGAATTTCGAATCTTCAGCCTGGTCTATGCGGCGCGGTACGGTGGGAAGATTTTGACGAGCTCACGTAAATGACATGGTGGTGTAACAGGTAAGGACCGCCTTCAGATTTACAGTTACGCTGTGGAGCGTCAAATGAGGAATAAGTTATTTACTTTACACTGCCTGAAAAACTCTGAAATACATGTACATGTAACTTTAAGTGTTCTGAGCTCAGTTACAGTGATTCTACCTCCATGGTTACAGAATGCCCCGCCACCCCGCATTATCAGTCACTGTCAGCGTGGTGTCAGTAGCCTGAGGTACTGGTCAAAGTATTCGGGGTAGGCCTATTCTGAAATTCTGTTATGTACTGAGTAAGCCCAAAAGACTTCAAAATTTTCCTTGCTTAACCCTCCTTTGGTTTTACAGCACAAATATGCACGAGTGCCCACGGTCACTCTTGTGCATGTATTTTCTACATGGAACACAAACATGCACAGGTTCAGTGTGTACACAGTTGGTTGCCAGCACAAACTGACACAGGGTCTTTTGTGCAGTCCTCTTCACTGCATTTGGTTTACCGCACAATGATGCACATGAAACAGCGAAGCACAGTTGTTGGGCAGCACAAAAGTGCAATCTGGTATTCCTGTGAGGGACAGTTGGTGCTGTGCACAACATGATACAGCTGTGCTTCTTTGAGGTGCTATCAGCATGACCAAGTGACCCAAAGAGTGACTTCAGCATAGGAGGGTTAATTAGGATTGCAGTGTGGAGCTAGTAGGCCTATTACTGGGGGATGTACGCCTACTTACACCCACAATTCTGGGGTGATAAAGTTTACTTAGGCCTACATGTACATTCGTGAAGAAAAGAGAAATTTTCCCTTTAAATTGGAAACTCTGTTGTGGGCCCTGCTAGCTGCATCTAGGATGGTTTGCACAATGTAACTTTAATAATGTCAATGTAGAGTAAACTCCAACTAAGTCGACATCATGTAACCCGTCATATCATCCAAGTCGGCCCAAGTCGGCCGTTTCACAAAAGTCCCAATCGTCTGTTTGATGCATTTCCATTCAAAATTTCATTTCCAATTCGGCATTTATATGTCGTCATTTCATGTATGTCAGCATGTTTTTCACAGTCCCTTTTCCACAAAACCACAAAAATTCCTTTGTGTAAATCGACATTAAAAAAATTGTGCTTCGGTATCGGTTTCCTTTGCCGCGGTTGCCTAAAAGTGTCAAGTGACAAGTCCCATGTGCCCGCTGCCACCATAAGTACATCAATACCAGTAACCCGTCTAGTGCTCCATGCATACACTCTGTCCATTTTGGGGTCGCTTATTGAATGCAGTTTGGTTCCCTGCCCAAAGATTCCTGGACGACCCTTGATAATGATTCGTCGGGTAGTCAGAATCATTGGGTCTGATATCAAGACTATATGGAACGAACTTAACCAAGCACGTGTGTGGCCATGGATTAGTATAGTGTCTGTTGCCTGCATGTACTGTAACTGTATCACGACCATGTACTAATATGTATATGTACATGTACGTACCACTGCACTATCGAGTCGTGATGTGATATGCAACTGTGCAAGTGGCTTGCCATCCTTGCTTTGTCTTTAGGGGCACATGATCAATTATTGAATTTGCAGGATAATAATCGAATGAATTTGCTGGGATCGACCATGGAGGTAGAAATAAATCACGGTAAATCGAAACCATTAAATTAGTGCAAAGAATCATAATGTACATGTGTGTACGTGTAAGTAAGCAAAATGATGACTAACAACACAAGCTGGCATTTGCATAAGTCGTCATAATTTCTTGAGTCCCGAGAGTGCTGACTTAGCCGGAGTTTACTGTACCTTTAGCTTTAGAATAATGATACTCGTAGAATTATACAGTGTTTACTGTCTGTTTTTAATTTAGGCTCAACATGGAGTCCAATAATGTCCGCTCATGCCCAGCATGCTCAGGACCATTTGAGCAGCGCCAGAATGCCAAGGCCGCTCGGAAGTCACCGATCGTGCATTTTAAGCTTCGTTCTTTAATCACCCCTGAATCAGCAGAAGCATTGTTTCCTGGAGTCAACCTTGATAGCTTTGTGTGCTCAAAGTGCAAAAAGCATGTTCTTTCACAAGGACGACTAGTTTCAATGAATGGCAGAATGAGGTATCATGTCACCCCACAAACTATAATGTACAAAGCCATGTACAACAAAAAAAGGAACGCCTGCCGAGGGGTATCAGAGCTCACTGACTCGGCAGCCAAGAAACCCAGACTTGCTGGAACACCTTGTGAAGGCGAAGAGAATGGTGAAGGATTGGTAGGTTGAAGCTGAGAAATTTCATTTTCAAAGAGGCAGTGGTATTAAGCATTCTGTAGGCTTTTTCACACTAGACAAATCTCTGGATTGACGCAGGGTTGGTGTGTGGTTAAAAGCGTGTGATTATTCACACTTGACAATTTTCATCCCCATGTCCAAAGATCGTATAGTGCCAAGCAGTGGCGAAAGATGTGGAACTTCACCGTGAATGCGCATAAACTGTTGTTTTCACATGGGTGCCATTTTGGTTGGACTGCTCCTGTGCAGTGCATGATAATACACAGGCACAGAAGCCGCACACACTCCCTGAACATACGCATTAACGTTCACACTCAAATGGCACCCATGGTGATAACACGTTTTGGGCCGACTTATCCATCTTGAGCGGCGTACATGTAGGGGTGCAATGTGGTGCGGAAATAATCTTTGCCCGCATCAACCCCGAGATTGATTTCAACATAGGTTGAACTCAACCTTGCTCTGGACCAGGGTTGAGAATTTTCAACCCAGGTTAATAATATTGTGTGCTCATTACTGGATTGAACTCACCCCGATAAGCTTGGTTTGCTTAAAACAGACGTGAAATAACACCGGGTAGAACGTGAGGTTGAAAAATCGAATTTTCCAGAGCAGTCATGGGTTCATCCAGGGTTGAGTTGAACCCAAGTTATTTGACCTTACAACCAAATGTAAGAAAAATTCCAACTCACTTGCTATTTTCATTGAAGGCAAGTCCATTCTGCTTTTTTAAAAAGGGTGATGTTACAATATAGCCACTGTTAACCCAAATGCTCCAAAGCATTTAGTCGTGAGTAACTTGGAATTAAAAAATAAAAACATCTGTAATGACAATTGGATTTTCACCAGGCTGCTGATGTTGCAAACATACCTGTCGAGTTACCGTACACAATATTTTTGGATCTGAAGAATTTTTACACTGTTTTTTGTCTAAATCCATATTTGCACTATTGTTTTATCTTATCATGTGATGCATCACAAATGGGTCCAGCAAGTATTGTTAATGTTAAACATACCTTATGTGGGTTTGAAGGGGACTCTCATAGTTTAAAGATGCTTTTTTTGCATCTTATCACCAAGCTAAAGGTGTTCCATCCCCTTTGAAACCTGCTAGTTAACATTTTCTGTTTGAAATGGAAAGTGTTTGCTTGCAGAATTGGTTTGGGGTTTCAAGTCACTTCTGATTTCACAAAACGTGGCATAATTTTTAACCGTGCGTAAGTCTTGCACTACACATTTATGCTGTAGCTACACAATATACATGCACTAATGTTTGATTTGACAAAATGTTGCATAGCTGTGCCAAGTTTTAATAATACATGTATTTAATTTCTTGGATGAGGACAAAAGTAGCTTTTATGACAGCTGTTCCCTCACAGCCAAATAAGTTCTTCTTTACCTTCAACCTTTGTTGTGTAAGCCTTGTCAAGTTCAGCAACAATGAGGCTTAACTGGCCACATGTGATAAACTGATCAAATCATTCAATTCAGCTTCATTTGGCACAACTTACATTATCTGGAATTATTGGATAAGTTGCACCATAGATTGTTGCATAAGTCACTGAGTTAAGCAATGCGTAAGGTTTGTGAAATTGGTCCTAAGTTGTTGTGCAACTTACACAATAAAATATGGCGTAAATGGAGTTACACCATTATATAAAGTTTGGTGAAATTGGATACACGACCGAAACCAAATTCAGCCTTGACCAAATTTTATCCGGATCAACTCTGATCCCAAACTATTAAACCTGGCCCCCGTACCAAGTGTGACACTCTCAAATTAAAGGATTGTTCTCAGCAATTGTTACTGTGCTGCAGGTGATTGAGGAATCGTCATCACCGATGGAAGGCATATCTACTTTGAGTAGTGATAAAGTTGACCAAGAACCCCAACCTTTGTCTTCTGTACAAGTAAATGCTCCGACTGCAATGCCCCCTAAACCTAAGAAGGAAGGAGAAAGACAGAAAAAGGTAGGAGGGCCAAACTAATATGTATTAGGTTACCTACTGTCAGACACTTGAAAATTGTTAAAAAATTTCAATTCTCAAAAAAGACAAGTTATGGCTCGAAAGTACGTGTACATGTAGTTATATGAACATGTACAGTATGTACTATACATGTAGTCGTTTTACCATGCCTCCATGATGATATAGGTCCAGTGTTTTACATGTAAATCAGTTTTATTGTCCAGATGGAAAAGAATTTATGTTTTTGTTTCATTTGTGTCAGACAAAAAAATCCAGAATGTGCCCAAAAACTTGCCTATCCCACCCAGCCCTTCCAAAGTTTTTGACCCCATGAAATTGGTTTCATCGCATTTCTGTGAAACACTGCTTACTTTTTAGACGTTCAGTTTCTCTGTCTTTCATCCTTTTGAATACCTGTCTTACCGTATTTTTTGTTTACCCTTTAGGAAAGGGTGATTACTTTCATGAAGCAAGGAGCCTATGTGAAGGCATTGAAAAATCTCCTCTTCCTTGAGAAGGGACGCAAAGCGTTTCGTGAAATCATGGCAAACGAATTACGCAAAGAGGTGCATTATGTCTTGGAGTCGGAAAACACACTCAGGGGTTTGACACCTGCATTCTCACTTGAAACCATGGAAAACTTCAAGTGGAGGGAGGTCATGGAAGATGTTCAAGTCAAGATGCCAATGACTTACACTGTCCTCCAAGGGATCATGCCATCGGAGGATTTATTGATGAGAAAAAGGTAGTGCTGGTGACATTGATTCGTTGGTTTTGTTGATTCTCTTTCTGGGTGATGTCACAGATACATTGGTAAAATTGCCCTGTGCATGATTAAAAAACTCCTCATTTACAAAGTACCTCAAAACCTGGTCACCATTGGTTATTTCTTCCAAACTTCGTTACCATTTAATGTAATGCCCATGTCATCAGCCCTGGAAAAATGTGGAAACCATTCATAATCATGGCACGCCTCAGAAACATGGTGTTGCAATTTTAGTATCGAACTTCAAGTTGGGCTGGAATCCAGAAAGCTGTGATCATTACAATGAATGGCTTTCTTAATTCTGATTTCAACCATATGGTACTGTATACGAATTTCGTAAAAAGTTTTCCTAATTGGTAATTGATGCATTTGATTGGAAATATATAGTCAATGTTGAATGTTCTGTACCAGATGCAATAACCTTGGCAAAGGTAGTTTGTGTATATTATATAAATGGAACACTTACACGTACATGCACAAGTATATAACAATACATGTACCTATACGTGGACATATTCATACATGTAAATATGTACACTTGTACATGTGTATGATCTAAAGCCCATGTACACATGGCCACGTGTATGGCTTATGCTTGAGGTCAAGTCTGGGTATGTGTGGCTGTTCTTAAAAATAGCTGGTTCCATATCGAAGGGACTTAAGACAATGTATTAATGAAATTGATTTGGTTTTTATTCACGTACATGCACTGTCCATCAACTTAAGGTTTGTTCAAATGTTTAGCCTTTATCCTCACATGCCATTTTCAAGGTTCGGCCCTAGGTTTCACCCTCTTTTGTATGTGTTGCCACAAAGTGAATTTACTTTTTGCTGTTGAGGGTTCATGTACATACGTTCCCATAGCAATATTTTCCACCATAACAGACATGTTCAACTGCCAATATATGATGCACCTGTACAGACTTCTTGGACGTTATGTGTGTATTAACAGATGGGGGTTAGCAGGTGTTTTTGTGTCAGCTGAGGATGAGTCAAGGTGTGTTTGAATCTGTCAGCTCACTCAGCTATGACTCTACGTGTATATACCGAGAGCCTGAGCACTGTTACACCGTTTGTATGTCCACACTCCTCCTGTGTGAAGTGGTCAAGAAAATATTCCTGTCAAGTAATTGTGAGCAACTCTGGAATCATAGATGTCTTTTTTTTTCAAAGAAGGGAAGCTTGGTGTTTTTATTCCTCCAGACTGAAAAGGCTTCTTGATGTTTCTGTCACAATTTGTTCTCTTTGTCTCTATACAGACGTACATTTACGACTCGACGAGAGGCAAGAGAAACATGGAACAGGAAGACTGGCAACATTGTCGCAAACATCCTGTACGCACATAACCCTTGGGTTTACAAGTTCTGGCACAACATAGTTGGGTTGGAAATGTGGCGGCAGGGAGCAGACAGGAGGATATTTGATAAGCTTCATCACCTCGGAGTCTGCTCTACATATCTATCAGTGCAGGAGACTGTGGACAGGATTCGGTCCTTACACAATGAGCACATTCACCAGTGGAAGGAAATCACAGTAAGTTAAACTACATGTCGCTGGATGATGTGAAAACACACACAGTTTTCCTTATTTAGTCCATGGAGGACGTGTATACTCATTTAAGAACTTTCTTCATTTCCACGTTTGTGGTATTAATGTGTCGCGTTTGGTTGGACAAAGTACAAAGACGATGCTACACACGGACGGACGTTGCTAGTACATGCAAGTGGGCTACCGTAAACCACAATAATCCATCATTCTTGAGTAGTCAGAATTGCATTGGGGAGCCCACTCAAAAGAACGAAGGCCTCTTTTGTTTGGGTAAATGGATTTGCCTAGGAAGTGAATAGAATCAGAAAGAGATTTAGTTAATGCTAACAAGCAACTCCTTAGTATCAGTAGGCAAGAACATGCATGGCCAGGAATGAGGCCTATGCTATTGACCTGTTGCTAGAGACTGTTGTGAGACTGTTGACATTGACATGCACCACATGTAGGCAGTTGAAACACGGCTGAACAGAAGAGATCAGAAGGAAAAGAATGAAACTAGTGGTACCTATTAAAGCTCAATAGTTGTGCCTCCCTACATATTTTTATTAGCACCAGAAACAAATTGCAACTTTGAAGAATTTGCGAAAAAAAATCCCATCCCCAGCAGCTTTTTGGGGGAAGAAAACCCGACATTAAGTGGTTAATACAATCAATATTTATGTTTTGCACTTTTGCAGTTGCAGACTGTGATGTATTCCCTAAGCATTCAATCTCTTGTTTCTGTCTGAAATATGTTTAAGCCATACATGTAGGTCTTATGGTAATTTTTATGTTGTAACTAAATTTGAAGAAACTGTTGCCAGGCAGTAGGTAATTCCATGTCGCAATTCACTGATTTCCAATATTTACGAATGTGTTATCAGAACCTGTTTACACATGTTTGGAGAAAATGGCTGGATTTTACATTTCAGACATTTTTTAGATGAAAAAACCAAACAATTCCCTAATTCCACGTATTAACAGTTCTCTAAGTACTTAAGAATACGGTTACTGAGAATAAAGTTCTGTTGTGTTGAGAAACATTTTCTACACACATGTAAAGTTCTGCAAACAATGCAACTGCCCAACTAGTTTGTCATGACAGACATTATTATCTGCATTTCCTGAAACAGAGTCATAAAAAGTTTTCTTTTTTGTGTCTTATTGTTTTGTTGCATATGGCTAGCAGATTAAAAAATCTTTGTCTTAGAAACCATAGAAAGGGTTGCCCCTAGTGTACATGTGAAAACCAAAACCGCGCCAAATTACTTCTCAAAATAGCAAAACAAAGATTTAAAATAAGGTTGGCTTGTAAACAAATTGCATTGCATGGACCCTCAAATAATTTACAACAGATTTCATGTTTTCTGCTGTGCATTTTTTTTTCAACTTAGGAGCGTCACCTGCATGTACCAACCTCAGAGGAATCAACTGATAAATCCAGCGGAAATAAATCCAGTGGAGATAAATTCACTGGAGATAAATCCACTGGTGTTGGCTGCAGTTACAGCCTGTGTTGGGATAAAATCAAGTGGAAGGCAGCAGAATGTCGTCACAAGGAAAATCATCAAGCCCAGTTTCACCGTCGCGCACTGTGTTTCAGTGTCCAGCATCGAACGCCATCATTGCAGCTCTCTGTATGTGTTTATCAACGGCATTTTACATTTGTTTGTGGAGTGCAGTGTATATGTCATGATTGCTGCATTTTGGCTGATTTCTGAGTTAGGCAGGATTTGAGATAAAAACTTCGCTCTTTATTCAGGGAATAAAGATGTGCTTGACCGGTATTAAATGTTCATTAACCCTCCTATGCTGAAGTCACTCTTTGGGTCATTTGGTAAACACCTCAAAGAAGCACAGCTATGTTGTGTTGTGCACTGCACTAACTGTCCCT